CGCGGCGGGGGTAACCGCAGGACACCGGGAAAGGAGCCACCACCAACACAAACGGGCCCAAAACAGGGCCAGCCCCGAGCGGGGCCTTAACCCGGAGCAGATTCCTCCCGTTTTCTTCCCCCCGCAATATTATTTCCAAAACCCACAAGCATCAGGCTCAAAACACATCCTCCAGTGCCAACAGGGCCCAACAGCTTTTCCAGTTTTCTGGCTAATCCCACGACTGCTTCTAGGTTCTTTTTTCAAGCAAACCCTTCCTATTCCAAGCCTCTAAGAAGGGTTGTTTTTCCTCCGCTTGCTGATTTTGGGTGGATACTTGGGAATCCACTCGCTAGGCAGCTTCAGCGAGGAAAACACAACCCTGCAGCATTTCCCACTGCTTAAAAGCAGCAGCTTTGCGGGGAGACAAAGCACCTGCATTGCTGCAGCTCAAGACAGAAGGTTTCCAGCTCATCTAAAAATACCTCAGCAAAAATAACAGCCCCGTGGAGGGGAGTTAAACGTGGAAAGGAAGTTTCAGGTTGTCCCGTTTTGCTGCTGTTTGATGGCAGTGGTTTCTGCATGGAGAAAGGAGGCGGTCGAGGCGAGCGGCGCTCGGGACAGCAGCTATTTCAGGCCATGCAATTTCTGGCCCGACAAAGCCACACGCTTTGGCCAAGTGGCCCGGAGCCAGGGGAGCAAAACGAGAAGCAAAACAGCATCCAAGAAAAGCTAAACGAAATGCAGCGCTACCGCGGGCGGCGCTGGGCTTCCCAGATCCCTGCCCTTTTCCCTCATGTTGGAGGGAGCTGGGTTAAAACAACATTGCTCTCCTCGATGTCCTGGCCCTGTTTTTCCAGGTGGCTGCTGGAAACACCTCTCGGGTGTCCCTAAGGGACCATGGGCCCGGGCAAGCGGAGCTGGATCTAACAGGGACTGTCCCAACAGGTCTCACAAATAGGGAGGAACAGGCAAAGGCGACGTTCACCCACAGCGAAGCAAGCGCAAAATCAGATGCATCGTCTGTGTTCTCCCTATCTCACTTCACACCCATCCTCTCCACAAAAACATCCCCCAGCTTCCTTTTATTCCATATTTTAGGGAGCGCCAGGACTGAAGGTTTCACTTGGAAAAGGTCCCACAGAGCCCAAAACCTCCCGAGCGCCTTCAGGAGCCTTTGGTGGCCCCGCGGTCCCCACGTCACCTATTGCTCTGCTCTCCAGGAAGCCACTCGGGCCGTGACTTCTGGGCTCGACCCTTTGCAGCAGCGTCACCGGCTACGTGACACCGAGCAGAGGGGACAGGCGGGCGCACGTGGCACTTTGTGTCACCAAAACACAGAGCCAGGCTCAACCCCCTTGGGTTTGCAGCCGTAGCAGGAGGCAGGGTCAAGCTCTCGGCTCCATACGATTCCAAGCACGTTAAAAGCTTTCCAAGAGGATGTCATTACAATTTACAGTGCTTTGGAGTACGCTTGCTCTGCCACGGTGCTGCAAAGGGACCTTTGGATAGAGCGGGACGAGCATCTTAACATTTATTGCTCCATAAAACACTTGCTTAATCCCCTAAGGACAGCACGTACCAAATTAACAACAGGAGCCGCTGCAGATCACAGCGTTCTGCTCAGAAGCCGCTCCAAATTAAGCTTGCAATATTTCACACGTGCTGTATGACCCTTTATTTAAAGATAAACACTCATTTATAACAACCCCACACGCATAATGTGGACGGGCTTTGTGTTCAAGAGACACGTCATAAAAATCAAATATTTAACACTAACGGCCGCAGCCGAAAGGTCCAAAAGGCAGCGGGAATCAGCCTGGAGCCAGAGCCACGGGACACAGACCGTGTTTCACGCTGGTAAATTGGAAAACCGGTCACAGGAATGAAGAGTTTTGCAAAGGAGCCAGCTCTAGACTGCTGGAGAGAACCTAACTGCCCAAAAGCACCTGTATTTCTCCCAAATGGTGCTCGGGCTGCCGCGGGGCAACCCAACACCCATGTTGGTGTTTTATTTGCATGGGACAGGCCGGCTTCGCGGCCGCCACGCGGCACCGGCCCCGTAACGAGATCGCGGGGATCAAGTGCTCATTTCCAAAACATGAGAATATTTATTACAGGAACACCTGAGCAGGCAACGGCTAAAATCTGACATTACGGACGTGCCTTGTCTCACAAGGAAGAGTTTTCTAGATATATTTATTGGGGAAACACAGGAAAGAAGAGGTAGGAGGCTATAGCACTTGGGAAGTGCTTCTCCCTTGGGAACGTGCATGGGGTGTTCTCTGCACCAAGCTCCTGTTCATGCACAGCCCAATGTGTATTTACAGACCACACAGCAACTATTCCAGAGGAAAACAGCGTGCTGGGAAACCCACATCTGCCCTCCTAGGGTGGTTTCTCCCCATGCACACAGAAAGTCAGCGGACAGGTTTGCCTGCGTGGAGCACGGGAGAAAGCGCCGGGCTCCGATAGGGCTGGAATCACTTCCACGTGTTTCTCAGTGCCCATCAGCTCCCGTGGGCGTTACGCCAGCGTTTCCCCCATGGCACATCTAGTTTTTCAACGCGACTCCTTTTTCATAGAATCATGGAATCATGGAATGGTTGAGGTTGGAAGGGAGCTCTAGGGAGCATCCAGTGCAGCCCCCTGCACACGCAGGGTCACCTAGAGCACGTGGCACAGGGCTGCGGCCAAGCGGGTTTGAAGATCTCCAGAGAAGGAGACTCCACACCCTCTCTGGGCAGCCTGTTCCAGGGCTCTGGCACCCTCACTGGGAAGGGATTTTTCCTGAAGTTCCTGTGGAACTTTTGGTGTTTCAGTTTGGGGCCGTTTCCTCTAGTTGTGTCGGTGGCCACCAGTGCAAAGAGGCCGCCCCATCCTCCTCACGGCCTCCCTTGAGGTACTTCTAGACACTGCTCAGGTCCCCTCTCAGCCTTCTCTTCTCCAGCTGAACAGGCCCAGCTCCCTCAGCCTCTCCTCACAGGGCAGATGTTCCAGGCCCCTCCTCATCCTCGGAGCCCTGCGCTGGCCTCTCTCCAGCAGCTTTCTGAGCGTTACCGTTCAGTGGTAGGAGATGGCAGCAGCTCAGGGGCTCTTGCTGCACCCTTGCAGTGAGCTATAGGAGAGGACGGGCTGGACCCACTATGGTCCCTGAAATGTGCTCCGTTCCCTGCAGCCCCGGGCGCGAACGCGGGCGTCTCGCGCACTGCAAAGTGCCCCCGAGCGCAGAGGAACCCGGCGGCGGCAGCGCTTACCGGCCTGCTCCAGGGCCACGAGCATGGACTGCTCGATGAGGTCGCGCTCGATGAAGCTGCGGAAATCCTCCGTGTACACCGTGAGGTCGGGCAGCTGGAAGGTGCACACGGGCATCTCCAGGAGGTGCTCGCTGCTGCCATTGCTGGACACGTGCGAACGGGCCAGGGAGACGATGGTGGAGCTGGCGTGGGAGATGCCGCGCGACAGGCGCTTCTCTGCCGAGGAAAAAAACCCCGGGAGCTGCGTGAGGAGGAGGCGATTCCCGAAGTCGGGATTCCCGCGCGGCTCAGATCCCAGTTTTTCCCTGGATGGGAAGGGAGAAACAGGCGATCGCCGTCAGGAAACGGAAAATAACCCAGGTCCTAAAACCGGCTAGAAACTCATCCTTAAAATAGGTTTATGGGTTGAGAAGGCACACACAGAGCTTGCAGTGAGCTAAACTTGTTCTTATTTGGCCACTGGACACCTACATATTCCCAACAACAGTCCAAAACCCTCCAATTTTGCCAGAATTCCCGTCTATAAAACAAAGAGCGGGATCTCCTCCACAGCACATCCATGAAGCGCAGGATAGGGGACCGAAGGAAAATGGACTTTATCCTTAGGAAAGGGAAACCAAGGCACGGGCTGTGCCATGTCCAGCAGCATCTGCACAAGCCAATGGCCAATTGCTTCAGGTCGCTGCCACATTTGGCTTCCAAAGCTGCTTCAGCTGCATCTAATGCCATCCGTGAGGAATGCAAATGCCACGGCATTTAATGCAATTAATGAAGATCCGAGCGGCACCGCATTCCATGGGACGTCGATAGCACTTGGACCAAGGACCAACTGGACACCTAGAGCCCCTGGATCCCCCTGGATCTCCCGTGGGACAAGGCTTGGGAAAACCACACGTGCCAAAGTGCAACCTCCCAGGCTCAAGACCTACAATACCCACTTCAACCCCCTGTGCCTGGTTTAAGGTAAAACAGAAGAGCCAGGAGCGAGCCAGGCTGTGCCATTAGTACCCAATAAATTATTTGGCAAAACAGCTTGAACTTGGTGGAGTTGAGTTTCTGCTTTAATCCTACCCAGCAAAATAACATAAGCCGAAATAACACAATATATGTTAAAACGCTGCAGCCTTTCAGTATGCAATAAACTGACCATTTACAGGACACTGTCTTCTAAAGGCAAAAATATATAGCAAGGAAAGTCCACCATATGGCTTACATTTGGGAAAATTGTGATGTTTATGAATGCTGTTAATCTGGGCTCTTAAATTAGGAAGTTAGCAGACAGCAGAGAAAAAAAACCAACTTTATATATAGCAGCTCCGCTCCAGGAAGCATCTATAAACTGCCAACTGGCTTAAACAACAGCTCGTGGACAATAAAAGCAGGCACCGTGTCCGGCTTCCAAAAGGAAAGATGCTTAAATTCCCCTGTGAGATGCAGTTTGCAGCATTTAAGGGTGGACAGCAAAAGGAAAGCTGTTTTAAGGTTTACCTTGGGTTATCGTGGGCTTTTTTTTATTATTATTTTAAATGATGCATCATCAGGATCAAGGAATGAGCTATCGGACTAAAATTAAAATTAATCATGCAGCCCCATCAGTATCCGCTTCCATATGAAAGCGACATGAGGACACACTGGGAATTGCCGACCCACGGCAGCTGGATTTACCTACCCTTCTCAGCAGCAGCTGTTGCAGAAATTGGGAAAAAGAGACAATTTTGGGAAAGTCTATGCAAAACAACGCCAGTCACATACATCCTAATAATTCCATACTACTTGCCAGCAGGTAGGGCACATTGGATGGCACTAAAATGCTTTGTGGAAATACAAGAGGGACATTGGAAAACCTGGCAAAAAAAGCCCGTTTCCTCGGCACTTCAGGGACGTGGGAGGCTTCTCCCAACCAGCCCCAAAACCCAGGAGGGTCTCAATAATTCCAGGCGAGCGCCGGAGCCTTTGGCAGCTGGAGCCAGGAGGGAGCCGCAGCGGAGCGGATGCCGAGTCCCGGCGGCGCGTGGGAAGGTGCCGGAATTCCGGCTCGGAATCCGTAGCGGAGTCGCAAGACGGCGGCTTCGCGAAGCGCTCGCTGCCGCCGGCCGAGTCGCTGCCTCTCCGCGGCATTCCCGGGGCATCTGACGGCTTCCAGAGCCTCGCTCATTCCCGATGGGAATAAAGAGAGAAAAACGGGCTCGTCTCCTTCCATGCTGTCGCAGGGAGGCTCCAGGAAAAACAGCAGCGTGTTACGGAAATCAGGCAAAACAGCCCTTGTCCAAATAATCAACCCCCACGTAGCAGAGGGTGGGACAGCGCCGGGGGAGATCCTGCTTTAACCTCTCCCGAGCGCCAATATTTCTTGGGAAAGGCACTATTAGAAATCCTTGTACCAGGCCCAAAAGCAGCACAGGACGACGCCGCAAAAGCCGCGCTGTGCTAGTTGGAAAAGGAAAGGGCGACGTTCCGGAGGCAGCGGGAGGTTGGGAGAGGGAAAGGGCGTTTGGAGGCAGGTTTGGAGCCTGCAAATGACGGCTCCGAGCGGAGAGGCCGCGCGGGCCCCGCGGGACGCGGCCGCCCCACTCACCTTCGAGCAGGTCGCGGGCCAGTCCCGGCTCTGCCCCCGTTGAGCGAACAAAATCCGACAGGACGACGTCCATATCCAAGGTCGGGTGCTCCCGGAGCGCTCCCGGATCAGCAGCTCGGCCTCAATCTAGGAACAAGAGCGGGGCCAGCTTGCGTTACGCGGTAGGGAATAACCCGCAGCATCCTTGACCTCTTCCAGCACACAGGAGAGGTAGGGGGAAATTAAAAGCACGGAAAAAATGCTTTAATTGGGAGGTGTCGCCTCTGCAAACAAAGCAACCCTTTCGGGCTGCAAAAAAATGAATCTTTTCTTTCAGACATGCATAAATGGAAGCACTGCGACTCGCCCAGGCAAGGAAACGCGCGACCTGGGCTGGTTTTAGTGGGCACCTGTGCAACGAAACGGCTTTTGCGATGCCCTCGGCATCCTCCTCGCGGCGCCGTTCCCAGAAGGAAGTGAAAACACGGACCGTAAGCAACGTTCATCGGGAGAAGCTTCGGTCCGAGCAGCTCCAGAGCCTCGGGAAGGCACCCGGAGGCGCGGGCTCCGGCTGCGCCCCCAAAGCCTGATTTACTGCATTCCTTGGGGCGGAAAACAGCCGAAAGAGTCCGGACCGGGCAAACACACGGCCCGGTTAAAGGGGTATTAACTGCAAGCGTGCGGAAAATGTTAAATATTCTCCAGCTGCAAAAGAAATCTTCCCGTTGC